CCCGGGATCGAACGCGGGCCGCCGGGCTGGGAAGCCAGCGACTAACCGCTTCAGCTATGGCGCGGCCACTGTACTTGAGGTTACTGAAAACAGAGCATGTCGGACATGCAGTGTTTGTGCTCTAAAGTGTCGATGTGTGTGTGTATATATATATATATATATATATATATAGTGTTTCTACTTACAGTACTTTTAGTTACAAATATTGTATGTTTTGTTATTTTTATATTTTACATCTATCGGATTATCATCGCGTTTCATTGACCTTTCTTTTATGTCTACATCTAATCACGCGAAGTGGCGTTAAATTACCCTCGACCACTACAATTTTATATTATCCCACTCTTCTTCTTTAAATTATAAACATGTATAAACGTTATATTTACGTCAAAAGTGTTGTAGTAATACTTCATAACAAGTTATCTTATCTCTAAATAAAGGCGGAAATTTCATTTTCTATTCGATATTATCCCTGCTATAAGAGATTTTATATTTGATGTCACATATATTAGTAAATTTCGGATTAATCACTACTTGTATTTTGTTCCAGAGAAGTCACTTATAATATCAATAATAAATATCCCTGTCAGACTAGTTTGTGTAATTCAGGGAGAAAGATAGGCAGTCTGATGTCTAACAAGGTTTACTTTGCCGTTTAATTTGACTAATCGGTTCTATCGGCGGCATGCTGTCCAATAGCAGGGCAATTGTCCGTACTGATCGTCTTTACAGCCCAGTTTCGTGCTTGAATGACAATGTTAACATTATTATTTGAACATAAAATTACACTCCAGAGTGAGATGGCTATTGGCAATCGTTAACGAGTCTGATGAGAATAACGATACATGGTAGAGCAATTACATATAAGGAAAATTGTGTCTGATCATAGCGTCAGGGAAGAGGAAACTGATGACGTCACACACATCCTGGATAGCTAGTGGCCGGAATTGATTAAGGACGTTGCAAATGCAGGTCAAGTGTTGTGCGGATGTGTAGGTAGCAGGCGCTCGCAGGAGAACAGAGAGGAGTGCATGCCTGTGGGCGACCGGGGGTTGTTTGACTCCTAGAGTCTGCTGCTTTTGGCTGTGCATACATTCATGTTCTATTCCGCGATCTGATTGTCTAGGGTCAGCTATTTTGACGTCCTATATCCTTGAACGTATGAAGATAATGAAGGTGGGTAAAAGTGTTTGCCAAGCGTTTCGTGTTCGAATCCAGATTTTTGTAAAAATGCTAGTTTTAATGCGTTTCATATAAGACAATGTCAGTTTTGAACAGTTTTGTATTTTCAGTCTATAAATGCAATGCAAAGATGTTGTAGGTTAAATGTGGCAGTAGTACTAAAGCGTGTCTTTGCCACATCTCGTTTCAACGCAGTCAGTTCTTTAGGAACAATGTCGATAGTTCTGAACTCTTACTTCCTGTATATTTCCTTAAGTTATGTAATGATTATGGCCCTGATCTTTATGCGCTAAAAGCACTTAAAATATGCGCCAAAAATAAAACAATATGCACTTAAGAATCAGATCACTTTATTCAGACTCGCCTCTTTACATGTATCATTCACTGCAGAAAGTAGCATCACAATAGGCAACTAGAAGTCTTTCAGTGTTTTCTGGAGACAAACCACGTCTATTGTCCGTCAAAATGAGTTCATAGGCTGAGAATGATATTTCTACATCAACTGAAGTGATTGGACAATATTTATACACTGGAGCCGAAGGTTTGGAACATTCATTTGGCAAAGATACCCTAATTTCACTCAAGTACTGACTAAATGACTGAATCTGTTATAGTCCTGGGTTCGATTTCAACACCTTTTCTAACTTGCATTTAATCTTCTCTTCAATTTCGCCTGGAGCGGAATTCAGTGAACAAGTTGAATGAACAAGTTTCTGAACGAGTTGACGTGAGTCGTGACGGAGTGCACCACCAGATTCTAAGCTCTCAATGGCTTTTGAAACTGTAGAAAAATGTGCATGGATAAAATTCACATCTCGATAGACAGTATCACTTCCAAACACCACTTTTGCTTCACGGACACATGCATACTCATCTTGAAGTTTTGTAACCACTTCTTTTACTTGATTGAAATTCTCCTGATAAAATGAAACTGCGGATATCCATGTCCCCCACCTAGTTAGGACAGGTTCAGGTGGCAGAGGAACCTGAGGTAGGCAATCTTTGTAGAACTGGACACGAACTGGTGCTTTCAGAAACAGTTTTTTTTCCTCTTTCAATTAATTTGTTAACAGCTGGAAACTGCAATACGGTGTAATCCTTGCGCTAAACAGGTTACGTGTATAAGATTTGGATAAAATATTTGTAAGGCCTTTGCTGCTTTCAACATATAGGAAGCTCTATCTGTGAGTAACACAAGCACCTTACAACAATTATTCTCAATTTCAGATGGCCATAGTAGTTACAGAGAATCATTTACAAAACTTGCTATTGTGCTACGGTTGGTTTTCTCTAGTACTTTGCTTACCGGGTTCGTCTGGATGTAGCTTACCTGCTACGAAATTTGCTATGCATCGGCCACACAAATCGGTTGTCTCATCCTTAATTATCCTTAATTTCAAGCATATATATAGAAATATGCTCTTACGTTTAGAATATGCAATAACGACCAAAAACCCTCAAAATATGCGTTTGCTTATGCGCATATGCATTTTCAAAAATCCGGNCGGGCACACAAATCGGTTGTCGCATCCTTAATTATCCTTAATTTCAAGCATATATAGAAATATGCTCTTACGTTTAGAATATGCAATAACGACCGGAAACCCTCAAAATATGTATTTGCTTATGCGCATATGCATTTTCAAAAAATCCGGGCCCTAGTAATGATGTAACTTTTTCTTGGACCCAGGTGTGCTGGGTCTGAAGCAAAATGTCTGAAATCTGAAAGCAAAATGCGGAGCTATGTTGCTCTCTAAACAATACCAGATTGCAACTGTCCAAATACGTGGGATATTAGGAGCCCTGTCTCAGAAATATGGACAGAATTCTTCACAGTCGCTCTAAGTGTCCTGAGTTTGAATCCGTGCCTTATAAATATTTCTTTAGGAACTAGATTAGAAGCAGCGTGTTTGCTGTTCTTCGATGCGCACACAAAGTTACAACTACTAACGCGTCACTTGTGTGTCTGTCCACAAGTAACAGCTCGATAACACATGAATGGATTCATAGTGAGGAATTTTACAACAAATTATTGCCATGTTTCCGGCAATAACGGACAGCTAATCTAAATACCTATGTGCGTTTCTGTGATTATGTGGAAATTAGGTACATAAACATAAATGAGCCGGTCACGATAGCCGAGCGGTCTAAGGCATGTACTGTCTTCGCTCGCTTTGAAACCGGGATCGTGGGTTCGAATCCCACTCAGGGCATAGGTGTTTAGTTTGTGTGTTTGTGCGTTTTTCTGTGTTTATTTACAGGTAGAGACCTTGCGACGAGCTGATCACCCGCCCAAGGAGTCCTACCGAATGTGTATGATCTAGAAAAACCGAAGTGAACGTAGAAGTTCATGGAGGTAGGGTCAGGCCCACTGGGGCTGTAGTGACAAGGAAAAAGAAAACATTAAATGAAGCGAAATTTTTGTAACAGACATGTAGAGAAGATTAAAAGACACGCGTTATGCGTTCAGTTTTTTTATCTTGCTGCTTTCGAGACAGTTACTCAAAAAGTAGCTGGTAAGAATTGTTACCTATGCGTACATATCATAGCTTATTTATTAGGCTACATTTAAACCACACAGAAAGTGCTGGGATAGTCGGAGACATGGATGTGCTACTTCCTTCTTTATTGCTTGCGTAATTGTAGTCAATACGATTTACGCACAGAAAACTGTTCACACAGTTGACGTAACATAAATTTTAATTCTGTGAACCCTATTTCTCCTTCAATAGGCAATGCACACTTCTGTCTCTCAGTAGCCGTACTTTTCATGTAGTCTGAATCCACAGTGAATTATTGGGGTTTTGGACTTTTGCTATCGCCCGGTATTCTAGAGACTAGAAAACACGACGTTTCGGAAACTGGATCTGTTTCCGTCCTCAGGTGAAGGGGGGAAGACACCTACTCTGTTGGGTCCCTTAGATAGAGCTAAACTCAATCAGTTAGGGGTGAGACACGTACTCATTGGGTCCTCAGTCACTCAATCACCTGAGGACGGAAATGGGTCCACTTTCCGAAACGTTGTGCTTTTTCGTTTCTAGAATACAGGACGATGGACAGAGTAAAGAAAACAGTAATTCTGTTTTAGTAAAGCTATCAACATATTTGCTTGGTTCCGTCAGAAAAATGAAGAGTCTTATTTAATAATATTCGGTTCTAGGCTTTAAGGAATGCACGTTTTTGTGCAGTGTCTCATCATAATACAATTTCGTGCGTATCCCCTTTACTGTGAATGTTGGAGCTACCGCTGTGTTTACGCAAGTCTGTGCAGAGTCCGAGGAAGTGAGAAGGCTTAATAATGACACTTTGCACAACTCACGGCCTGCCGCCATAATGCACAGCAGTTTGCATTGTAAATGAGTTGGCAATTCGTCGTGCCCTCTCGCTCCCTCCTCTCTGCAGCACGTTCTTCCAAGTTCCTGGGGGCAATGTTTTGCCTCCTGGATACGAACAACTGCGACCCATAATGTCCTGACGTTTCTTTGTTTCGGGTCTAACAGTATCACATGCCTCGGATGTTACATGCTCTGACTGCAGTTACAATAAAACCCGAAATTCATATGTTGTGCCACATGTAGGCAGATCGTTTCTCTGCGCTCCGGCAGTAAGGATGAGACGCCTAAATTTGTTCGGCGCACGTGTTGCCGTTTTATAATTATGGGTGGAATTATCCCGGTTTTGTCGTGGATCGGAGTCCTGGGCTGAAGACATGCTAACTTCCCCATCGAAATAGTATTTTGAAATAGATTACGATCATGTTCCTCTGCACTTTTTTTCTAAGATCTCATGCTTGCCTTGATATTAGACAGTGCACTCTGTATTTTGCATATTGTTAGTAGACAGACTAAGTAATAAAATTATATCCCTGGAATCTGAGAGGTAAGGCGTTTTCGAAAGTACCAATTGTTCTGACGTTGAATTTCGGTTTTGGAAAGTTTTAGTCTAGTTTCTTCTTTAAGGAAAAAGGCCGATCATAGTGGCCGCGTGATCTGAGATAGGAAATGTCTTCGCCTGGAATAGTGGGTTCGAATCCAACTCGAAATATGTATGTTTGTGTGTGTTGTCCTGTGTAGGTAGCGGCCTTCTGACGGGCTAATCACCCCTCCAAGGAATCCTATCAACTGTCTGTAAGATCCATTATGTCAGAATTAATTCTCAATGGGAACAGGCTTAAGTAATAAATTCTTTAAAAAAATATTATAACCCGTAAAATATTTACAGCTACAAATAATAAAATATTAAATTGAACAGAATTCGATCTGACTGCCTTATGCCCAAAAGTCCAGTAGATCAGCTCTTTAGCCAAATTGAATATTAATGATGAATTATAAATTTACATTATCTAAATACGACATTAACAACACAAAATTTTGGGGCAAGATGCCAATGCAATAGGAAAGTAGACCTTTTGGGTTTAACAGGAACTCCTTTTGTTAGGCATATGTACTATTTTTATTTATTTTTATTTATTGCTAGTGGGATTGGACCAAGTCCCTTGTACTGCGGCCACTTCTGATCTATTGTACCAGCCCCAGATGATAGGTGAGGGTGATTGTGGAGCAGTTGGTGGAATGAAGATGGCAGGGGAAACCGAAGTACTCGGAGAAAACCTGCCCCACCGCCACTTTGTCCACCACAAATCCAACTTGACCAGACCCGGGATCGAACCCTGGCCGCCACGGTTGGAAGCCAGCGACTAACCGCTTGAGCTATGGCGCGGCCTAGGCATATGTACTAACAGTTATAACATGTTTAGTATAGATTTTATTTATCGAGAAGGGGTATGTTCCGTCCCATCATTGCTCCCTGTAAAGCATACTGTATTAAGAACTGTTTCAGACCAAAAACATTAAGGAAGGGATAGGCCAATTGCGTATTAATTTCCATTTTCAGAAATTATAACATTTCCGTTGTAAGTTGTATATGTCTTTATTTAGTGGGGCACGCGGTAGCGTAGTTGGTTGAGGCACTCTTCTACAAGCCAGAAGGTCGTGGGTTCGAGCCCCGATAAGGTCATTGGATTTTTCAGTTTATCTAATCCTTCTAGCCGCTGGGATCGACTTAGCCTCTAACAAAAATGATTACCAGGAATCTTCCTGGGGCGGTCAAGTGTGGCTGGCGCTTAAGACTGACAACCTTACCGCCATCTGTCTAGGAAATGTGGGAGCCTTGACGTCTCACAACCCCATGGGCCCTCATGGCCTGTTACAGGGATAATTTGACCTTTTTATGTCTTTGTTTATATTATTTGTTTCGTTTTACTCATGTGTTTCTTATTACTTTTTGTGTTCTTGTGAGTTCTTACAATGGAATTTCTTTTTTAGTTTCTGATGTATTTTCTCACCGCATGTTCGTTTCGGCCTGCTCATACATGCACGTTACTGAGCGTTCTTCTTCTTCTTCTTTGGTCTCTATATTTCTTCCAAGGATTCAGATTCAAGTAATCCAGGAACAATTTGAGACACACGCACTTTTGCACGCTATAAAATCTTCACTTTCTGTTTTTGTGAGCCTGCTCGGGTCAAGCAGATTGAGGTCATAGGATGTGAGATATATATATATATATATATATGCGTGTTCTATATTGATTTCCTGGGATTCCTATGTACACCTTCTGGATACAGTCATCCTGTTAGATTTATGTATAGCTTGGTGCTACGAGAAGATTGGTGTAAGTCCAGTACAGCCTCTCTCAATGAGTTTACTTAAGGCGGGACTGTTTCCTCGCCTAATGGCATTTCATTTTCTTTCACGTAACAGGATTCGGTGTTTGCTTGCTACGGTTCTGTTCAGATTTTCGTATTTCCTGTATTCTGTATTACCCGTTGCTTTGTATGGATGTGTACTTGGTCTTGATGTTTCGGAAAAGGCTGGTGAGGATTATACTCACGCTTAACAGGAAGGAAGTCAAGAAACTGCAGAAAATTGCATGAGGGGCTTCGTAAATTGAACTGTTCAACAAATGGGCCTGTCATTGTGGTCACGAAATCAAGAAGGGTGAATTGGGGGCATGTAGCATGCAAGACAGATCATGCCTACATGGAGACCTGGACATAGATACGCGATGATATTAACCTAGATCTTCATCTTCAGGGGGGAAATTAAGTCCAGCAAGAAACCAGCCTGAAAGCAGGTGGCAAGCAGAGCATGGGCTTGTCGAATGAAGCACAACCGAGCGGTTGTGTCTGAAAGTAGTTGACACTGGCGGTTCCCTCTATCTTACGGCGACCCAGAGGAACCGAATTGCTATGTTCCACTTCCCTCCTGTGTCCTACATAAAGGGAAATTTCGGCAAACTCACTTCTCTGCTTGCCACTTGCTTTCATACTGGTTTCTTACTCGGCTTGATGTTCGACCCTGAAGATGGAGGAGAGATGTTCCTCCGAAAACTGTACAGACTACACGGCATTATATCAAGAAGATAAAGGACTACTGGTGTTCTGTAGAAGGAAGGAGAAGGGTCTGTTAAACGTGATTTTTGACATTAAGGAAACCATAACTCTGTATCGTGGACTCGTTTGTGGCTTCGCGGTGCATCTCGGGAATCCGAGGATTGCTTTCAGGAAGGAGAGTTATGGCGTGCCACGCTTATTCATTTTGGTATGTTGTATTCTGCCTCACATACACATACATTCAACAATGTTTGTTTTGTTTCATGTCCGGTATCATATACCGTTACCCTACACAACCTTTCATTGCTTCTGTTAATATTTACTGCGGTCTCACGAGATTTACGTCGTGGCATGCTGGTATCGCTGAGTGCAGATACTTAAATGAATAATGTTACAGTAATATTTACAATATTTTCCTAGTGACATGAAGATATCCCTGCTAGTTAAGAGCGTCTTTGTGTGTGTGTGTGTGTGGGGGGGGGGTTAAGAACACATTGATGTGTGTGAGAGACATGCATGATCATTTAGCTTATTTTTCTCTAAACCGTTTCAGCCACCACGAAACATTCTGTTCACCCTGTGAGGCTTGAATTTCATCTACATAATATCGAACAATTTAGCTCCTGCTTATCAAAAACCACACTGATTTGTCAGTACCAGGGCCAATGCTCTCTAGGGAAATAATAATTTTGTGTTAAGACAACCATACTAAAGCCATAAAAACATTCTGTGATTAGGATACAGAATTTATAAATTTTAAACAAAGTGGTATTTTGCTTTAAATGGTTAATGCACTTAGACACTAATGGACAGTTTCTGCTTTTTAAAAAAACCACATCGACTTAGCTTTTGTTGCTAAGAGACAACATGCACGTTTATTTCACTGATGTCCTCAAACATCAAATTAGTCAAAAACGGGGTGGGGGGGAGCCTCACTGCTTCTTGTGCGTAACGTAGGAAGAGCTAACGAAACCAGCCTGAAAATCAGCGCACGATAGCGTCACCAGCTGATCCTAGACCATTAGCATATCAGATTACTTGAAGGAACACAGCTCTTCATGTTGAAATTTAGAAAACACTGAAATTTGTTGCTTAGATGGAAGTTAAAATGCAGGTGGAATTGGAGTCTCACGAATCTACCTCGTCACGGACATGCGCATGGACATAGGCAGTTGTTCAGGTGAGCTCGGGACGCCAATACGCTGCCACTTGTGCGCTGGGGGATATCCGGTCTGTCATGGTGGCATCACTCAATACCAAGACAAGTCGCGCGTATACCGGACAGCTGACACTCTTTATGAATGCTATGAATATCAAGTGAGGCAAGCTATGACAGGAGCGTGTCTGTTTTCACCGATACGCTTCTGACGAAAATTTGTCATACATACTTCAGTGTGTTTTGAATACATTGCTCTCTCAGCCCACTTTAAAGTCATGTGGAAATTTGTTTTGGGAAACACAGGCTTTCCTGTCCCTCCAAGGTGAACAAAGTGATGCTGAGAAGATGAAATTTTCAACAACCCCGAGACCCGTGGCATAGAAGATTTTATCGTTATCATGATCGTTATATTTGTTGTCATCATCTTCATAATGTGCATCGTCACCATCATGATCATCACTCTTGCCCTCTGTAGCCACCCAAGTAGCCAAGGAGCCTTTTACAATAAACGGGCTGCATGAGATGAAACCCGGAATTTTAAAACCTATGTAATGAAACTAAATTATTGTTATTTTAAATGAGAAAGACTAACGGGCGGGAAGGTATGCTCATTTAGAGGCAAGCAGCTTGAAGTACTAGGTAGGATGATTGCAAAGAGCAGAGTCGTTATTCAGAAACTTACAGTCGCTCATCTGGTGTAGAAATTTCCCCTCCACTGTCTGCTTTTACCGGTTCTCACGGTGTCTTCGCTTGCGGATTTCTTATATTTTTCCTTCTACCCTGAAAATGGAGGCGATACGTTCCTTCGAAACGTCGGTTAACACCACATATACACGGTGCCAAATCCCAGAAGACTGCTTTCTTCATAGTCACCGCCGTGAAAGCCTCAAATCTTACACAGGTATATTGTAGTT